GAGGATAAATCGGTATAAAAACTTTGCGGGCAATCAAAATTTTACAACCAGCCCATTTATAACAGCCATGATTTTTAGAAAACCAAATGTTGTGTATAGTGACAAGGCCATTTAATACCCTTTTTTATGTATGGATAATTTCTTCATCATTTTCTTTATGTTTAGAATCTTTGATGGTAAGAGCCACGGGTGGCACATATTCAAGTTGATATTTTGTTATGTTACCCCACCCTTGCCCCCCTTCCACCTAGGAATACTCGATTATGTTAGTAGAAAAATTCCACGATTTGCCCTCGGCACCAACACTGCCCCTCCTGCCCTAAGCTGGTGCAGGCGTCCCTGGACAAACACAGCTTCACAGAAAACTAAGGTGCCGGGAGAGATCTGGAATCCAGTTTTTTGTTAAAGTAACTTTTCCAAATATTTGGAGTATGTGTCAGAAAAGACATACTATACTGTCTTATTTCTATATTACTATGCATGCATCTTTTAAATAATTTCCTACCTCAATAAGAAACTTACTTCTTCTTTAAAATAACCCTTATCTGACAGTTAGGGTGTATTTTTAGTGTGAGCTATAGGTGATACTCTTTGTCTTTGGTCGTAGTAAACTACTAATTACTCCATTAATATAGTTACCACTCTTTCAATTTGGATTTTCTGCTGAAGAGGCCAAAAAAGGCCAAATTTAAGTGGTAGGCCAATAACAAACTTTCCAGGCAATTCATCTATGAAAAAGGCCAAACTTGGAAACTTTTGCCTGTAAAAGGCCACAACCCTGATATGTGAAGCACATTTCTTTACTATAGGCCTAGTACAACGATCAAGGTACGATGAAAGTTTTCCTAGGAGAACAACAACCTGACAGTTGTCTAAAGCAAATTATCAAAATGTGGTCAGAGCAAAAACGTGACATCTTAGAATAAAAAAGCATACAATGTATCTTTCTCTAACAATAACATAGCTTCAAACCTTCTTTAGTTTTCATTTTCCTTTACTTTTTTTTTAACTTTTGGTAGGGAAAATTTTTTCGCAGGGTAAAAATGCAGCCACCTCCCTCCAACAAAAATTCTGAAGGGACCCCCTGGCCGAGAGGAAAAAAGGGGGGGGGCAAATTGCCCCAAGGCCTCGAAGTCTATGTAGCCTAATAAAGTAATGAATTCATCTTTAAGTATGGAGCTGATCAAACACAGCAAAGGTGTGCCTAAAAGTTGTAAATTGTTCTAGATTGAAAGAACTGACTACAAGAAATATCCTGAAATGCATTTAAAGCTAATTCAAAGGGCGTAGTCATAATACAAAGTTTGATCGTATTGTATCCTTGATTCTGGATTCTGGTTTGAAAAATTTGCATTTTTGTTTGAAATATAGAAGATTGAAATTCTTTGGCAGTCAAGGTGTCAGTCTTCTTGACTACAATCAATAAAGAAAACGGAACAATCTTCAAGTATTTAAAGTATTCTTGTATAGTATACTAGAGTACATTTGTGTATTCTATGAAACCATGTGTATTCAAAGGAAATATACTGTTGTCATAGGGCTGTTCCTGAACAAAAAGTTTTGTTAGAATGATAGGTCTCGGTTTTCAGAATGAAGTAAATTTTGTTCCAAATATTTTTTCAAAACAAAGCTGAGGCGGCTGGGAAAACTAAATAGTTGTGAACCGTTTTCTTTCTTTGGGGGTGGGGAGACAAAACAAGAAAGTTTTTTCGCTAGTTTTATCAATGAGTCTCGCCAAAGACTGCATTTTTGTTTCGTTTCGTAAAGGCAGTTTTCAAAATATCACAGTTATGCCACAAAAAGTATGTTGCCAAAATTAAATGTCTCCTCTGACATTTTTTCCATCGAATTTAGGCGAAATACACTGATTCTACCAAGAACTGGGAGGGGGGTGTTGCGTGTCCATATCATAGCGCCATTGTATGAGTCTATGACGTCACTATTTGATTTTTCTTGTAAGGCTCTATAATTTGTGTTAATCATTAAGGCTTCACAATTCTCTTTAAACTTATCTTCAAAACAACCATCAACTACTTTTTCACACCTACAATTCAATCACACCTACGAAGCACGAACATTAAAAGTACAGAGCAAAAAATGACAGACTGAGTTCTACGGTAGGGTCAAATGACAGACTGACAACTTAATTAGAGACATAGCTCGAAGCAAAGACGATATAAAAGCTTTTAAAACAGTCTATATTAAATCGCTATTAAATGTCGCTCCACAAACAAAATTTTTGTTTTCAAGATTCTATATAATTGACTTTGGTTACTTGTAATTCTATATAACCAAGAGCTCACAATGGTTGGCACATGCTCGAAAATTTGGTTTTCTATTATAATGTATCTTGTAATTTTGCTTCCAAGTTGAGTTAGAATCTACTTGCTTTTTCTGCAAATTTATATAACATTATAAATCTATTGCGAAAGGTTTTCTATGGAATGGAGTGTTATATATAGGTCAAAATTATATTATTGATGGGCATGGCAAATGAGCATCAATGTCCATACCTCTAATTTCAAGTAAGGTCTGTTCCTGTTCCTCTAATTTCTGGAGCAGTAGCGTAGCCAAGGGAAAAGGGGGATTGCCAATGCACAGAAAGTTGGTGTCTGAGAAAAGTGCAAATCTTCAATAAAATTTAGCACCTAAAGTGGGTGGGAGAGTTGATGCTTGAGACCAAATTGAAACGTTTTAAAGACTGCAAGCAAATGATTGTATGAAATGTTCTGAAATATTAAGCTGAACTAAATGGTGTGGTAAAATTTTCTGCTCTCTTCGCTCCCAGGGGACTCTCGTCTGTACCTCTACTGAATGATTTACAATTTCCCTTCATTTTAGGGTTTATATATGCATACTGCCTATTATATTTGGATATTTGCTCACATTTTTTGAAAATCAGTTTTTACACGTAGCACTTCCTCGCCTTACACATTTCAGAATATCAACATTAGAGGAATTGTGACGGAAATAGATAGTTTTAGAATGGAGGTCAGCCACAAAAAGCTACATATGACAGTTAATGTCTTTGAGTAGCCAACTTTTGCCACGTAAAAAAGCCATAGCTTTCCAAAAGCATTTACGAAATGGGGCGTTTTGCCAAATTCTTAAGGGTGTGGTCAGCAAAAATTTTCCCGGGGTTAAAGCCCCGGACTCTCTGATTTCAGACTCCTCTTTACTCCTCCAATCTCCCAACCTTTGCTACGCCGCTGGTCTGAAGCACAAGCTACATCTTGTTTATACTTATAAGAACCAATAATTTATTCCTTCAACATAGTGCTTCCGAGAGAAATGTCCTACTCTAAATTTTCCTCTATCTGTATATACAAACCAGCTCCAATATGCAAACCTATGTAGACTAAATTAATAGGATGTTTTTTGTAGAAGCACAATATGGTCAGAAAGTATTTCCTTTCTTCAAAAGGTATATTATAATTCTCATTACTATGTGCCCACTACATTGACTTTTCCATTTGATCATCTTACCACTCCCTCTTTTTCGAATTCAGAGCCATTTTCTGCTCCATCTTAATAAAATTCGCTCGTTTTCAATAAACATTCCTCCAAAGTCAATTGCATACTACCATGGCACTGTCTTATCTGTCATTAAAAAGTTTAAGGGTTAATTTTTAATTGTTTATTATTCTTAAAACGTTCTTTGATTCGTGCTTGTAGATTAAGATGCACTTGTATTCTTGTTTAGATTGCAAAAAACATACGTTAATATGACATTTTTACAATCGAGCAATGCTAATAATCACAAAGAATCGAAGGCGTGAAGTTATGTCAACTATAAATTCAACCAAACTGAGACTCTCCGTGCTGGTACACAATGTGCCAATGAACAATGACTTTTCTGCTCTAAGCCAGTTTTTCTGTATAAAGAATAGATGTAGCATATGCCTTCCACGGATAAAATTGGATACGTGAGGATTATCTGTCTAGAGTTTTAATATTTACTAGAGTTGGAGAATCCCATCCCATAAACATAAAGAACACCAAGAAATACCTCTTAATTTGCAAAATCAGTCGATCTGTTGTAAATCGACTTGTTGACTTTTATGAAAGAATATGAGCATTCAGACTCAGAGAGGGGGCAGAAGGGACCGTTGTAATGGGTGTTAAGGATTGCAATTAGAAGCATTTTTTAACTATGTGATAAAATAAAAGGGGTCTGGGATTTGGAGCCTTCATTCAATCGAATTTTTATTTTATTAAAGTGGTCTTTTCAGGTAAGAGGTTAGAGGATAAGTAAGAATTTTGCCACTTCAAAGCATTCGAATGCCCTGCTAGCTGCATTGCTTTCATGATGGGGTGACAAGCTCCCTCCACATACACCTACAGTAGCCTCAGTCTTCCACATTGTTAATGGGGTTTGGAAACGTCTTTTCTGTCATTCTGTAATAGGATAGTAGAGTGCTACCAGAAGCCCTATTCCTATCATACTTGGCCAAATTTTAGAATAACCCTTCTTTCTCTGCTTAGCATGACTTGAATATTGAATGGCCCCCAAAGCACTGGCGGACACCTGGTCAAATATTAGGAGCAAGCTTATTATTTAGATAAAATGACGTCACATTTGTCAATTTTTTTAGAACAGAGGACCATTGTCTTCCAAAATATTTAGGGGGGGGGGGGGGGCGATCACTCCCTTCGATCTCCAGATTTCCGCCGCTGCAAGGTATTTCTAATGGGTTTATCCCTACCCAATGGGTCTTGGTCCATTACAACCCCATTTACAATTGATAAAGGGTTGCAGATTCTCGCTTAGAAGCAGCATAGTTTCATTATCTGTAAACTGGGTGTGTAGAAAAAGAACATTCTTCAAAGAGAATGATTTGATTTTTTCTTGCTGGCCTTTGCCGCTTATGCTTTTGAAATTATGTGAAAATGAAGCTTCATAAAGATGCATTTACATTGGATATTGATTCTAAAAAGCCACTACGTATAAAGACGGTAAACCACAAACAATTGCATAGACATACATTAACCTCGGTTCACTTCACATCAATTATGTCATCTCAGTTTTGAAAGTTATTGTTTCCAACCCGCAAAAACGTATCTAAGACAAAGACAAGAAATGTGTTCCTTGAAGTTATCAATGCGATGGAAACAAATTATATGTGAAATTTTTATAAATTTTTATTGAAAGTGGTGACCGATGATGGCTTATTATAAGCAAGTATCACTGGTGCTGCTGTCTATCCTGCACATGGCTGGAGTCGTGGTTGGCAACAACGGTAAGAGTCTCAACTTTCAATTTCAACACTGAAGTTTCATGTTTTCTTTGAGGCCTACTAAACTCCTGGTCTGATGACGAGAAAATGCAAATAGTTCCTCTTTTAGTGGACAACATATTAGCTCACTTTTCGTGCATCTTATATATAACTTTAAGCATTATAGCCTGATTAAAGATTGCTGGTAGCGTTTTCAAGTATTAGCTCAAAACTGTTATTAAAAAGGAGGAAAGATTTGGACTTCGAAAAAGCACTAGGACTGTTTAAAAAGATGAGTGGATTTTAAGAAAATGAGTGGATTAGGTGGGGCAGCATGCAGTCAATATGATCACGCAACAAATTTTTAATTGGCTTTATGACCATGGATAAATCGCAAATTCAGAATATGACATTTGTAGAACAGTTATAATCTGTTGGAAATATACTCAATCGACACAATCTTTTTCGTACCTATCGCTGAATATAACTTGAGCAATGCTTTCCTAGGCAGCGAATTTAACTGTAGCCTTCAACGGTTTTAGGCTCATCAAGAAGTTTAGAACAAACTAAAAATGGGGATAAATGTTAAGTTGCTCATAGTTCTAAATCAAAAAGTATTTGGAGCAAACATGTCAACCAAACGCAAAAAGGCCGTCTACTGGCATACAAATGCTTTTGTTTTCACTTTACTTTACCATATTTCAACTTTTGTAACAAGCTTTCACTTTAATGATAAAAACACTTCAGTTGATAGGCAGTGCAAATTGCATACCTACACTCACTGTGACGTTGGTCATGCCCATCTCAGTAAAATCCTGAGTTGTGCACCTGCAAAAATTGATCATCCACCCCGTTCGTATGCCGTTAGGTTTGTTAAACTTTTGTTTGAAAGCAGCCGTTCCCCTTTCCCCTCTTCGTTTACTGTTCCTCTGTCCCTTTTCTCCGAACCCCTTTCTCTTGTACCGTTTCTCCTGTCCCCTTTCTCCGAGCCCCTTTGTTCTGTCCCCTTTCTCCGATCCTCGTTCCCTTTGGTCCCTTTCTGCGATCCCCTTTATGCAGTATTTTTTCTACTGTCCCTGTTTCCGATCCCCTGTTTCCGGTCTCTTATCTCCGGTCCCCCTTTCCCGGTCTCTTTTCTGCTGCCTCTTTCTGTAAATCTCCTCCCCACTCCCTATCCCTTCTCCTTCCTTTGATATTGTTACTAAACCAAAATCTGTGTTGAAGCATTTTAAGGGCTTCTATTTTACTTGTCTCAATATAAACAGAAACTGGACTGGCATTTATAAAACAGAGGGACCTCAAGCTTTGCTTTCGTCGATATGAGGGGGTTCTTGCTTTTTCATTTGCTTGATATCAAAATTATTGATTACCGGAAACGCAGTTCAACTTCAAGTAACTTAAAAGTTATTAGAACAGCCGTGACAAACGATTAAGTTGAAACACTGTTCGAAAATTTGCCTTTAAGAATCAGTGCCGTAGGAACGAAATTTATCTTTGGGGGGGGGGGGGGGGCTGCCCATTGTATTGCTTTCCGTTCAGTACACTCTTATAAAGGAAACATACTACAGCTTGACAACTATTGGGGGAGGGGGCTCCAGCTCCCCCAGACCCCTGAACTTTCCGCTATCAACGTTTTCAAAAAAATACATTATCAAAGTTTTTTGCCGTCTAGTATCATCCAGTTTTTAATATGATAATAGTATTATATTCTATAGTTTATATTTTACTTGTAAAATTTCAAGAATACACTTCATTGTTCTGTTCATTTTCATTGTATTAGAGCAACCAGCAAACCTAACGTATACAATAACAACAAAAAGATGTGTCACAGAGGTCAAACTCAAATGGACTGAACCAAGCACAAACCTCAGGATTCAAAATTACATCATTGCGTATCATGCCACACAGCCATACAATGGAAGCATTGACACATTAACATCACGCAACAACAAAACAGTGCATCTTATATCAGTTTCAGGTAAAATTGGTCAATAATGTTTTTCTACATTCTAATATAGTGCGCAATCCTCTCTCAATACCACAGGTCTGCCTCCACGGAAAAAGCTTTCGTAGACCACAAAACTTCACGATTTACAGTATTCTTTGTACAAGATTCCAGCGTTATTCAGTGGCGGCGCCAGCTACTGCAGAGTGAGAGGGTAATGGGTGTTGCCAGTGAAACCACGCCCTTTGTATCTCGTTTCAGTGCTTTGTACCTGGTTGGCTTTCCTTTAGAAATATGATGTACCTTTTAATCAATTTTTAGAAGAAATATGTGGACCATCGGTAATTACCCCCATACCTCCTTGGCGCTGCCACTGGCGTTATTGAGCCCTGTCTTCAATAATAGCTGACTTCCACATGCAAACAGTCTAAAAACTGGCTTGTAAACAAACATTTCGCTTTAAGTTCCAAACAGAAAAAACATTTTGTAGGGGCACAGGCCCCGAAGACCCGCTCGATAGGCTCTTAAAGCAAAAACTCAGCATTTCTATTTAGAATGAATGTCATTTGGTTCAAAGATAAAGAGAGTGACATTGGCAAAATGGCTAGGCCAATCGAAAATGTCTAATTCCTCTCGCCTGCAGTGGCGGTTTTTCGTAAAATTTCAGGAGGGGCAACCGTGTGAAATTTGCCGACTATTACATGGTAAATGGTGTGACTCATAGTAAATGATGTGGTGTGGCTCAAATTTGTTTTGAACTATTCCCAAAATGTGATGTTTTGACTTTCATGGTTCAGCAAAAGCTAAACCTTCCTCTGACTGCCCTTCACCTCAGTTAAACCTTCCTCAAACTTGATGTAAACTTAAAATAGTGAGTTAACTCAGAATGAACTTTCTTTGAGAATTTTGGAGCCGTTCTTATACATGATACCGTATATCTTCGAATTAGGTCCCTGGGGGCTTATTTATTCTTGATACTTCTAGATGGGGGCTTATTCGAGGGGGGACTTATGCCAGGGGTGGGGGGGGCTTATAAAATTTTGATATTTGTTATAAAAATTATTGTAGACATTAAGGAGACATTATTAAAATACCTCGTTTATTTTAGTAGGGATTCCTTTATGAGCATTACCAAAAGTATGAATTTGTTGTGGTAATTCAATAAAACGCTATAGGCAACCTCAGATGGCAAATATCATCAAATAGAGGGGTCCAATTCGAGAATTTACGGTAGAAGTAGAGGCTTATTCGAAGGGGGGCTTATTGACAATTTGTAATTCTAGGGAGGGGGCTTATTCGAGGGGGGTTATTTTCGAGGGGGGCCAATTCGAGGATTCACGGAATTAACTTTCAAATTTTCAAAACCGGTTTGTAACCTGTTTCAAAATAATTTTTCTGAAAATATCATTATTTGCAAAACCATCAAGTGAGTTATCATACGATATAACTAACAGGGTTCAAAAGAAAGCTGATTATAATCAGCGAAACGACACGAAACGAAACGAAATACTACGAAATATTAAAAAATAAGGTTAAAAATAACAACAAAGTACGCCAAAATTCTCAAACCTTATCGCAATATTATAATAAGCCTAGAGAAATCAGTAAAAGCCTCTTTACGTTAAGGAAAAGTTTTACAAATACTTGATAAGATATTCCTTATTCCAGTCTTTATTTGAATTATTTCAATCCCAGCCTCTTTTTGACATGTTTACAAAAAAGTCTATTTTTGCAAAACGTTACAAACCTCCAACGTTCCACGAGGCAAGCTGTAATTATTTTTGCTTTTATTTTCATTTTTTTGCCTCAACTTTGTTTTCAATTGAGAGCTATAGCCCCTTGAGTTGTTGCTGACCAATCTTGTTCATCTGCAGTTTTGAGAAAGACCCCCCATCACTGGCTGTTTTAGCAAATATATTTGGAAGGCTCTATACAGATTAGGGCCTCACACAGTCCGGTTTCATGCATGTACATTGCTTCACAATTAACTCTCCCTTTTCCCCCTTTTCCGTTGTTTTTGGAAGCTTTTCAACAGCAGACTTTCTAAATGCTGGACAAAGTTAAGGCATTTTCCGCTAACATCTGGATTATCTGACAATAGATTGACTATGACTTCACCTATCCTCCATATCGATTCTACTTTGCTTTCTGTTGGAAACAAGGCCCCAAATGATTGAAGTATTAATGACAAAATAGCAAATACCAGAAATTGCCGAATGGTAATTCTGCCGATATTTGGACTCCAGGGGTAACTGCGCCCCTCGCCCCCTTAGAAACCGCCACTGCTCGCCTGTAACATAAGTTTCTAAACTATGAAAAAGGTTTATTCTGAAGTAAATTTTGACCAAGTATTAGAACCTTGCTTGCGGAAATTCTTTAAGAGGTACGCGAAAGCTCCCTATGATGAACTCCCTTTGTTGGCCTGGACCTCATCATAAGATTACCACCCTACACCAACTCCCTCCCGTTTACACAAAACTGTAAGAGGCTTTTTGCAACCTTGAAAGGAAGATCTATTATCAAGAAAGTGTGGGCTCTTTAAAAGAATCTCCTTGATAGATTCTTTTGTAAAACAGTTACTGCCAATGTTTCTACTATGAAATTTACTGAATATCTTAATGCGTATGGATTTAGGTATACATTGAATCTAATTGATTTAATTAACTTTAATTTAGTTTATTTTGATTCATTTGCCAATTTTCCCCATTCACATTACGTTATATTTACTTCTTATTTCCTTTGTTGCAGCAACAATTAAAAGCATCATTGTTCAAGTATCAAGTAATTTTTCTAATGAAAACGATACATATCGAATCGGGCAAGTGAGTAAAGATTTAGCAGTCGACACAACAAATACAGGTATATTGTTCAAATGCGCTATACTTTTTGAAGTTTTTAAGCTTAGAGATCAGAAAAATACGATATGTGAATACACTACTCGTAACGTAACCCAATCTTTCAGACTTGGGGGGGGGGGGCTGGAGGTTCATCAGTGGCAAAATTTACCTACTGTATGAAGAATTGGAGTGGGGGGGGTGTAACACTAGCCTACACCCTCCTGCTAGCTACTGCAATGCATATTACAGTTTAAATAACAGTAGGATAGTAGGAAGTACATAAACATTTGAGGGAACGTTGATCACGCCCAGACTCAGTTGGAAATCTATTGGTGAGTAAACTTGACTAAAGATTTTGCATCAGGAATCTTGTTTAAACTAAAAAATGCTTATTGTTTAGTGATCTTCAAGCTTCTTGTTACATAAAGAAAAATATTAAACTAAATAGCAAGTTTTGAAAGGAAAAAACAAGGCACTCGTTGAAACCTATTACAAAATTTGGAACAGATAGTTCTAAGTTGGAAAACGGGAATGTCTGTCCTTTTAATCATGTTACTGCACACATAGCAAGCAACAGTGAACAAGTTTTTTTGCTTTTTAGTCTGCAACTCAACAACAATTGAAAGTCAGGCAACAAAAACTGGCGTTATATATGTTTTAAAGCTAGCTGGTATAATATTCGGTGGTGCGGTTGGGATCTTGCTTTTCGTTTTCGTCATATTTCGACTCTGTGTCTGGAGACTGGAAAAAAGGTACGACCAAAGGGACTTGCATTGGAATGCCGGGAAAGACAACCCGTTAAGAGAACTAGGTATGTTAACATTATGTATCGGTATGTAATGCTGGGTTAAGGACCCAAAGCCAAAGCAAAGTATAAAGAAGTATTAAAATAACAAAAGGCATGCTAGGACCGCAACAACTAAACATCCAATGTTAGTACTGGTCAAACTTTAAATTCAATCCACAATGACCGGCATTCAGCAATACAATAATATTTTATTTCCAATCATTGGGAAAATCGAAATTGGCTTGATAAATTATTCAAAAAGTAGCTTTGAATCTTTAAGGGAATACTACGACATATAATTGTGAAAAAATCATAAAAAATGACTTGGGAATGACATGATCAATGTAAGTACCACATGTGTCAATTCACAGACCACTTCTACTTAATGTTTCTGCAAAGATGTTATCACAACTTAAGTGGTAGGTCTTTTTGGAATCATCATATTTAATAAGAAACATATGACTAAAGACAAGTTTGCAATTGGCAAAGCGATAGCATTATCACTATCGATTAAAACAAAAATAGATAGCATTGTCACTTTGCTTGGTGTTCAGATTGATGAGAAGTTAAAACTTGGTTCATATCGATGAAATCTATGGAGTATATTGGCGAGAGAGAGAGAGAGAGAGAGAGAGAGAGAGAGAGAGAGAGAGAGAGAGAGAGAGAGAGAGAGAGAGAGAGAGACGAAAACTGAAAATTCTCTCAAAATCAATTCCTTTTAATCATTGGCAATGGGCAAAGTAGTTACGAGAAGGAATTACGATTATTTGTCTTTATCTGTCAAGACTGCTCTTCTTCTATAAAAAAACTACAATTCATATATGTACAATTAGTTAGAATATTGTCACTTGAAGTTTATAAAGATCATATTCATTTTAATTCAGAATCTTTCTATTTCTTACCCAAAGAACTGGTCACAACCTTTATCTCAAAAACCCTCTTGACATTCCAAAAGTATGAACTATCAAAAATGGTACCAGAATATCGAGTTTCGAAATCTAGAATTCATTCTCAGAACAATGACAACATAACAATTAAAACAGACCATGTACTAAGCAGGTCAACTACTTGATTAAATCTTGGTCCATTGAACGTGGGTGTGCCTATTCATATTGCGTGCTTCATGTTTGTTTAGGTTTATTTACATTAGTTATATTAAAATTAACATGAAACAATTTATTCAATGCAATAAAATTAAAAAGTACAAAGAGGTTGTATATTAACTCAGTTGGATATAACGGTATTACACTCTTGTCGATTTGTCCTCCTTTTACAGAACATGATTATTACCTAACAGATTTTACAAATTAGATTTGATTCTTTCGTTTGATTTGCAGATGGCTTGCATTATAACATTATCAGTCATTTAGAAAAATTTGTAGAATGCATAAGATTTTTGCAATGTTTAATGTTGAAGTGCTTCGCTGATAACAGAAAAATAAACCATTATCAAATAGATCACCAATTGCCGATCAGTGCAGAAAACCTATACGATCATGTTTCATTAATGAAATTTCACGACAACAAAGGCTTCAAGAAAGAGTTCTCAAAGCTCGTAGATACTAGTGTGCAGGGATGCTCATTTGGAAATCGCCCATATAATGCAACCAAGAACAGATATGCGAATGTGCTAACATTTGACAAATCAAGAGTTGCCCTTGAGGCTAAAAGTCACGACGTTTCATCTTCATATATAAACGCTAATTATGTAGATGGCTTCAACAGGCCTAAGGCTTACATAGCAACTCAGGCCCCATTACCGGACACGATTGCCGACTTTTGGAGAATGATATGGGAGCAAGAGAGCAACATCATTGTAACGGTGAGATTTTAATACATTTTTTGCTCGAGCATAAGCAGGAACAAAGTAAGAATTAACGACTATTATTTTCATAGTTTCGAGTTCTTTAGAAAATATCCGGCATTTCGACGGAGTTTAAAATTATCCAGCAATCACAAACTTCACATATTTTGAATGAGTCTGCATCTACGTAAGTTTCTTCCCTACTCAAAAATAGGGGTATCCTTCCACATTATAAGAGGTCCAGAGGACCCGTTTAGCTTAACCAACTCTCCTTTGAAATGTCTGATAAGGCTATTTGTAAGCTGAGTTTCAAACGGAGGACTTCTTTATATGTGTTTGCAATTATACTTTGCCATGCAATTATACTTGTTGCTACTTCGAATTGATCGTGTACTGATATTCCTTATGACATAAGACTCAGTCCCGTTAAGATTAACCCTGTTCCGTTAAAAAGATGTCCCATTTTTGGAATATTTCTGTGTTACTCTTTATATGACCTTATCTTTGGTTTGTATTTTACTTTATGGGACACACATTTGTAACAGCTTTTGCAATTTGAGATGTTATTATCTATTTTTAATATTTGTTCAGTCACTATATGTATATCGATGCTCCATAAAGGATTTAAGACTCACCAGTTATGTTATTGTTTAACGGTTATATACTTCAAATATAATGTAGAATCAGTAACTAATTCAAGAGCTCTATTGTTGAAGCCATAGCCCTTGACATAAATAATCTTTACATGATGACCTTGGAACTTCTATTAACAGATCGTCAATTTGAAAGAGAAAGATGGTACTACTTGTGCAAAATATTGGCCAGATGCATCCACAGTATCATATGGCAAAATAACAATTAAGCATTTAGAGACAATCGGCTATGCAGATTATGTGATACGAGTTATGGAAATACAGCATGTAGGGAGTACCGAACTCAGGATTGTGAGACAATTCAGCTTTACTTCATGGCCTACACAGAGAACTGTCCCTCTTCATCCAACCTCGTTTTTGGAGTTTGTTAAAAAAGTAGCCTCGTTCAAAGCCAACAATAACCAGCCAGTTGTAAGTGCTTTTTGCTGATATTTTCCCTGGAAACCCTCGATGGGTTCGTAAGGCAAAGATTCTCACAATATAGAAAGAAAAAAATTACCTGGAAATTGTGATCTGTTTTCCTTGAAATTCAACCTCACCTTTTCATATCTTCTCAACTCGTTCTTGTCATTCTCAATACAGATGAAAGAGGAATATCTCTTGTCATTTCAATACGGTATCAACGAAACAGCAACGTTTAGCTAGAAATGAATAGACCTTAATCATTAATTCGAGCCTTTGTCAATATTTCTTTTTAACGTTCTACAATAATAGAAATTTAACTATATAACGATACTTTTCACTAAACAACGATATTTCTCTCAGACAATGTCCAAAGCTGTTTCTAGAGTTCTATTTTCTACTGTATTGTGAACCGTAGGGATATTTATTAATAGCATCAGGTTTTTATCCTGCCATTTTTCGAGGGTGCGCTCGAATTGTTTTCTCAAAGTTTCAATCAAGAATGTGATCTCAATCAAAAATTATCGCAGCAGGTATAACAAAATGACGAAGAGGTAGATTGCTAGGATGAAACATAAAGGACATCTGAAATAAAATTGATGAACCTCTTTATCCTACAAGAAAACAATTCGTTGCAATAACCTGATTTAATCTCCTATTACCAGCCCCCTTCCTAAAGAAATTGTTGGATTTTTGTACATGCATTGTCACTAAAGCACAAATATTCATAGCTGACAATTTGTTAAAAAAGCAGAAACGTTTATCTACAATATTTATTTATACCAGCTGGTAAATTTTTTTCATGAAAAATGTTCAACTATACTTGTCTTAAGAAAAAATATTTTTGTTGAAATGACTTTGTCACTAGAGCAGAAGTTACCAACGTCAGAACTGAGTTAAGTATTGTAAGACAGCAAACATTGACTTTTGACTTATTAGTTGTTGCTCCAGTTTTTTTTGTTTCGAAGCTTTTGCTCCAATTTTAGAAGCTAGTTGCCTTTTCTATAAGATTAAACTTCATCTTTGTTTTTGGATACATTTAACATCTAGTTTTACATTCACGATTGTTTCAGCGGAGTTGTTTTAATCTCTTACATTTTTAATAATTTCCCAACACAGGTTGTACACTGCTCTTCCGGAAATGGCAGAACAGGAGTGTACATAATGGTTGATATACAGCTAAACAGACTGATGAGTGAAAGCAGAAATATTAATGTTTTCTACGATCTTGACTGTAGCAGGTAAGACATTTGCTTATGCTGCACGCTTCTCAAGTCCCTTTCCAAAACCAATTCTATTATCAAAGATTTTGTAAACAAAGACGAGCAGATCTCAATAAAAGCATCGAAGGACTTTGTTTCAATTTTAAACATATTTCAGTTGTTGCAATATCCAAAACTCTATCGTTTGACTAGAATTCACAAGAATTTGCTTTTCCTGTAGAAAAGCTGTTTAACTCTATGACAAGGTGGCTAATAACCTGCTCAGGAATAACCAGCGTCCGCTTTATGATAGGCAAGGATTCAAATTAATCTAGGCTTCCATGGATCAAAGGAGATAAAACAATATAGTAAAAAACACGTATCAAAGGAAAGTATTAGCAAACGACGATGTGTGGCTTGATGTCACCTTCATTCATCAAATAAATAAAGGTTATATATATATATATATTTTATATATATATATATAATAATATTATAGTATATAATATTAATTATATATATATATATATATATTATATATATATATATATATATAATATATATATATATAATATATATATATAAGAATTATGTTTAAAACCATAAAATCTTAAGCATCGGATGATGTCTGGTAAAACGACTAAACATTTCACTAAACATTCACTCAATATTTGTTTAGTTAAGTTTGGCGAAGTTTGGCGAGGGTGGCAAAACGTGACTAACATTTTTATTAAACTTTACTCCACATTTTTGAACTACGATCTGTGTAAGACGCTGTGGGGTTGTAGGGGATCTTGTATAGGAATTTTCTTTCTGTTTGTTTCGTTGTATGTTAGCATAAAAGACTTCAAAGACAAGAAGTGGATAAAAATAAGAATTTGATGAAACAGTAACGTACTGTTGCACTGTTGAAGAATAAATAGTAGGGTACAAGGAGATGAAACACATGTCTCACAAAGGCATTCTAGAGATTTTGGGTCACGTAAAGACTGGAAAAAACCCTGGACAATTTTTTGGTTTTCCACAGCTACGGCGCCTGCGCTAGCACAACAAATGTTTAATTGATGGCAAAACGACTAACCATTTGCTAAACAACACTAAACAACGCTAAATATTTTTGGCCAGAATCAAACCTTGCTCAATAACACTCAAGACGACTAAACAACACTAAACAGGGTGGCCAAACGAATAAACTTTCCATCAAACTTTTACTTGAGTGTTAAGTGAAATGTTTAGTCGTTTTGCCAGGGCTTTATTTCATCTCAAACTTTAAATCTTAAAGCTTTGCACAATTCTATCATAATAGCAAAGTGATAATACTGGCAAAAATGAAATTGATAAATTACGGTATTGTCGACATGAAATGAGCAGCTTTGCAACTTTGCTCTCATTGCCAACAACCATATGCAGGTGCTTGCTAAGAGTTGCATAACTGAAATTTTTAGAAACTTCTCCCTTTTTCGCAGCGAGCTGTTTGCCACATACATCATGCTAAAAATTTGCAGCTGCTCGCAACACAATCCTCACATTTTTAATTTAAACTGGCTATGTCTAAATGGCAGTTTCAGGCTCGTTTATACGAAGTTTTCGTCTTTCCTTTTCTCTCCTTATCATAAAAACAAGATAACTCGGAAATGACCTAGCGGTCACGAAATCAAAATAAAACTGTCAGAAACATTTTGACGGCCTTAAACTATTCCTAAAGTGCTGTGATAGAATGTGATTGTGAAAAATTCTCATTGTAACCGTTGTGGCGTCTCCTTGCCTTTTGGAAGCTTCAGTCTGCCTTCAAAAATTTTAGCTTTGTCACTAAACGAGAAGATGTTGTGCTTTGTTTTCAAGCGCTGTTCCTTTGTCAAATCTAGTCTTCAGTTAAATAGGTTTATGCCATTTCTTTAAAAAGGACACCGTTGCTTCCTCGGCACACAGAGGTGTTTGGAAATGTCAAGCAAATTTGATTGCAAGTTTTGTTCGTCTAGCAGCATTTTGTATAATCAGAAGATAGTTAAAACATAATGCTTATTCATGCAGACTCTATCAATTCATGAAAAACGTGATAGGCAGAAACAATGCTTTTTTGTGTTCGTGTGAGTATGTATAACATCTATGAAGTCCATTGAACCTTTCTAATTAGGGAAAGAGGTTAAAAAATCTAAATCCAAGCCTGATGCTTGCAGAGCTTTATTCAAATAAATTGGCGTGGGGCCCATCTTTTCTGTCTGTTCCATGTGGAAAATACTCATTTTAAAGGTACTTGCATGTCTATAACTGATGTCTGATTCTGAATCAAGAACAACGGGTACTATTTAAAATGTATAGAGTTTGAAACTTCCCAATTACCTTTATACATTTCGTTGAAGAATGTTAAAGTGGTCAAAACTCAAAATCAGTCTTTGCACAGTAGAGTCAACTGAATAAAGAAAGCAAAACCTTAATTAACGCATACTTCCATATAACAGATTTTCCATAAAGGGGTCTTATCATACAGAGGACTTACCATACAGGGGACTTAATATACAGGGGACTTACCATACAGGGGACTTACCGTACAGGGGACTTACCATACAGGGGACTTACCATACAAGGGACTTACCATACAGGGGACTTACCGTACAGGGGACTTACCATACAGGGGACTTACCATACAGAGGACTTACTATACAGGGGACTTACCATACAAGGGACTGACCATACAGGGGACTTACCATACAGGGGACTTACCATACAGGGGACTTACCATACAAGGGACTTACCATACAGGGGACTTACCATACAAGGGACTTACCATACAGGGGACTTACTATACAAGGGACTTACCATACAGGGGACTTTCTATTCAGGAGACTTTCCCAGCAACAGACATTCCCTACAACTAATTTTCCTACAACGGACAATACCGCTGACCGAACCTTTAGAAGTTTTATTAATTTCAAGTTAATGATTGCTTATGTTTTCCAAAATTTCATACTCAATTGATTCGAATATGTAACAGCTTAACCGTTTCAAATTATGTTTCTTTAGACAACAAAGATTTCAACTTATTCGTCACTTAGAAGAGTACATTTTCGTTCATGACTGCATACTTGATCATGTCATCTATGAAAAGAGATTGGAAATTAATGGAAGAAATTTGACCGACTACATTGCAAAAAGGAAAGACCGGGGCCCAAAAGGTAAGGTTTCTTGTTAGCCATCACTGTACAGCTACGATTAGTTTTGCATTAACATTAAAAAGTAAATATGGTTGAAATGATTATAAGGGATCAGTTTAATTTAAAAGCCTGTAACATAATCTAGATAAAAACGACATTTAATGATATCAATTATTATAGTAAGACCAATGATAATATGCTAATGGGATATAATATAACAGAAAATAATGCAAAATAATGTCATCTAATACAACATAGTGACATAAACACAAGGTTTTATATCACAAAGTAACCAACATGACAATGACATAATTAAACATATGTCATATTACTAATGGCCATTGTAACAAACAGTAGCCTAGAATGTGACGTGACGTGACGTGACGTGACGTGACATGACATGACATGACAGTAATTTGACATATTTCATATGTCATATAACTATGGACATATTATATATGATTTACAGCACATGACAGGAACTATACTAATCAGAAAGAATCAGTACTTGAAAAATGTATAATGTTATTACTGTCACTTACAGATGAGCTTGGATTTTCTGCGGAATTTGAGACAATAATGAAAGATATAACAGCAATGAAGATTCGAGCAGATGTTGCTAAGCTTCCAAAAAATTCATTGAAAAACCGTTTTCTGAACATATTGCCCTTTGATCATACGAGAGTCAAGCTGAAGGATAAATCTATTGCAGAAGGGTCTGACTATATCAATGCAAATTACGTTGATGGTTTAACAAGAAAAAGACAGTTCATAATAACCCAGAGTCCAATGGAGGAAACATTGTATGAGTTTTGCTGTATGCTGTGGGAAACTGGATGTTTAACTGTTGTCATGCTATCCTTTGGAGACAAGGTAGCCATTTGATATCATTTTTATTTACCTTTATGCTCTGTAGATGGCAATGTTGAGCAAGTCCTACGTGTACATACCGACCTTCATGACTGAACATTCTCTTTATCAGTTTTCATTGATTAAATGCATGTATGTTAGCTGTAGCCAGTTGTCAAACTATGTTGTATACTTGCACAGAGTTTTAGCTTGTACAATAACCATTTCACGTAGAAACAAACATGTAACAAAATAGACTTTTAGAAAAGAAGACCTGTTTATAAGATGGCCAAAGAAACAATCATCTTCCTGATATCTGTTAAACTATAAAGAATCTAAACGGATCTTGTTATTACTTGGATCGTGGGATTGTTTATCAGAGCACTGGAGAAATAATATAGTTTACTCAGGTCGGTGCATCAAAACCAAAATCTAGGTAATATCATAAATTGATGGCACTGTCATTAATGTCTTTCAGTCCTTTCTCCCCTAGTATTTTCGAAAACAGTTAACTACTGACCTTTGCAGGTGCAATGTTTTTAAGACAACCACTTGCCTCAACCTGCAAGTGAGCCTGTTTTAGGGAAAAGTAAAAGGATAATCCATTTTGGGGAACATGTGAGCTGTATTAATCATAAGTGCGATATACATTACATTTCATTACAGAAATAAATACCAAAATCAAGTTAATTTTATCTCAAAATCTAATAGTAAGTGGGTCAATTTCAGACAAGGAAAGCTTTCTCTCTACAACCTTCCATCAGCCGCAAGCTAGACTCAACGGCAACCCTCGTTTTATTGGATAATAATTATTTGTTAATTCTATTCACAGTCTTGCAAACATAATTTGATAATTATAGCCTTGTTATTTGCCCGTGTGGTCTGCCGCAGCTGCAGTCATACACAGCTAACACAGGTTACTTTAGGGTCAAAAAGTTTTCTGTCGTTAGGCCCACAAACTAGGAACACCTTGCCTAAATATCACAATGGGATGGATCAATCCGCACCTTTGCTGTAAGACTTGTAGTTAGCAACTGAAATTTGTATCTTATATACCTTTTAAATAGTTTAGTATTTTATTAAGATTTTTAAGCAATTTTCTAACTTTTTATGCTCTGGAGACTGTCAGATGAAGGCTTAATTGTATCTTCAAAAGTTTATTTTTTATTTGTAAAAAGAAAATTAGTTAAGTCAGATGACAAACAAACAGAAAAACCTACTAAATAATTTATGTAACATAAACAGTGTAAATAGTAAAGATTATGAAAGTGTACAAGAATAATCTTCGTGTCCACGATGGCTAGGCCGAGAAAATTAGATAAAGCTAAGAAGCTTAACTGTTTCAGTCAGGTATAGACGCTTAAATGATTAGCGGTTTGGAGATTTAGGACAAGTTTGGACTCTTTTTTGCTGACAAAATTTTGAAAAGAATTTAAACAGTTACATTATTGAATCTATCATTTGTCAATCAATTTCTTATACTTCGATACATTAAGAGGACATTCTAAGCTGCACTAGTGTTCCGGGGGTCTCCAAAATCACTTCTAAAATTAAGCATTATCAATCGAGATTTGACAGGCATAGAGCTATTGATGAACCCATGACAAGCAGGGGGTATTAACAGATTGTACCAAAGGCTGCTGTATATGATGTGACTGGCCAAGATTACAATAGACCCCTTTTGACGGCTGATGCAAGGGCCTTTGTGATCCAGGGGCCTAATGAAAACGACATACTGTGCTCGTTCAATAGCAACGAAGGTGTACAAGTGAATCCCCTGTTGAATCCTGAAACAAAGCTTCATATTTATGAATAATATTGAATTATTGGCATTTAAGTTTGTCTAAAATGCAACAGTCTCTACTGTGCTATTTTTCACAAATGTTGATCTTTCACGCAGAAGCAATTGCCGTTATTTTGGGAAGTTTAAGCTAAATTTAAGAATTGAAAACCAACTCTAGCATTTCTTCAAATAGTGTTCTCAAGTGAAAATCATTCATTGACTAAAAACCATATCTCACAATCAATTTTATTGAATTCTGTTCCAGGAAACAGTTGTTTACTGGCCGGAGAAAGATGAAGTTGTGAAAGCTGGTAAGCTAAAAGTTCGACTGATATCACGGGAGAAGCAAGGATTTTTTGAAATAAGAAACCTCGAAATTGTACACAGTGAGGTAAGTGCAAAGAGGACTTGCATTCTAAAGGTGCAACCATTGTCCTATCAGTAATTTATGTATTTATGATAATTAATGTGATTAATGTTTTCAATATCCTACTGCTATCATACTATAGTATACAAAGTTAAACAATTTTCAAAATCATAAAAACAGTTTTAGTTTCAAACCTTCTTTTCTAATTTGGAAAAAGTTTAAGTTTAAATGAATAAAATTGGATTTGATTAGATAAAGTATGTAGATCGACTGCAATACCAGAGCTGTGATGGTAAAATGCAATCAATCTGACGACCATGTTGTCATCAATTGTAACTTTTAATTACATCCATCACGCATTTATCACGATATTTATCTTGGAAATGTGAACAACATTTTGCTGTAATAATACCGATGAATTTCAGATGAAATACGATCCATGGTTCTCGTTTAAACTTGTAAATGTGAAAAAATGTTAACAATTTCTACGAAAGAAGCCCTATAATTGACAACCTTTGTGTTTTTGCTATTTAATCTAACATAGGGCATACTTTAAACGACTGATTTTTCCTTAAAATTTAACTAGAAAAGAGTTGATTGCATCGAAGGATGACCTAGCGAGCTTTGAATACAGGTTATAGTACTTTTACAACTGCTAAAGATTGTTATTAAAGATTTCGAGGTTTTCCTAAGGACATTTCCAAGTGTGTAGCAAGCTTCTTGTTCGTGTTTTGAACCTGTTTGACTGAGAGATCCAAGCTAAAACGATGTTGGAGTTATCACATTAACGGGATTTTAGTGCGGAATCGAAGATATTATAACCTGTATCCAAAGCTCGATAGGTCATCCTTTCTACGATAAAAAGCGTTATGCTATTATTTGAATGCAATCAGCGATAGATGGCAATTTTTATTAGGTTAACGGAGAGGTTTATCTTTGCTGTTTTTTATTTATACTGCTTGTTGAAACAAAACTTCACTTTAAATGCAAAGGCAAACTCACAGCTATGAGATTCAGGAGCTCAGACCCTAAAATAATGAAGTAATTTCACTCTCCAGTCTTCCATAACATGTCTCGGGCATTGCAATAATATTTCTTCAATGTTGTGTTGCATATTCCCTTGAAATATTATAAGAAGTTCAAGCATAAAACAAAAAGGATTTTCATTAAGGATTTTCTCAATGATTTCTTTTGTATTAGCACACGGATACACGATTAGTAAGGCAATATCATTACGAAACCTGGCCTGAAAACTCAAACGATGCATCTTTGTTTGATTTCGTCAATTTTGCTGTGCAATGTGTGCAGTGGAACACAACAGCAAAAAGTAGAACTATTGTGGTACATTGCAGGTATGACATTATCATCTTACTGTCCTCTTCTGGTAGATAAAAGTTTTTGTTATATTTGCATCACAGCTACTATACAATGGTCCACCGTACCGGATTATCACCGACGTTTTAATTATTGTGTATTTTCTGTATTTGGCAATGTTGAAGCTTGATGGCTTGAGCTTCAGAATTGATATTAATTTGACAACATCATGTTTAATCATTATAACCAAAAATTTTTTCAATAGGAAATCTCCTTTTAAAGATTACTTTTACCACTAGCCGGCTTTATAATTGACCTCAAAATGTCATTGAAGTTACGGTCCAATTCACAACTAAAACGGCCTTTCAAAATATTGAATATTGGAATCGTTAAATGCTTGCAAAAATTGCTAGGAAAATCCCCCGAATCAGTAACATTTTTATGCTTCGATTATGAATTCTTTTCTGAATTCCAATCCATACACGCCTTTGTCTAATTTTTAGGGCTGGAACAGGCAAATCTGGTGTTTTCGTTGCTCTCTGTCAATTGATGGAAAAACTGAACTGCGAAGGAGCTGTAAACATCGTACAAACCGTGAGGCGGTTGAGGCAATGTAGGATGGCAGCAATACAAACATTGGTATGGTTGACTGTTAATTGTTTTGTAAAAAGTGAAAACTTGGGTTTTAACAGTTTGTTGGCAGTCTCTGCTAGGCTAGAATCAAAGTAGCTTGAAAGTGTCGCCACGAGGTGGATTGGGATGAACAGCCGACCCCACTTCTGTCAATGATTGACGAGAGAAATGATGTGTGTGTGTGTGTGTGGGGGGGGGGGGGGGGAAAGGGGTGGTGAGTCGTGTGATTGTGACTTTCATCCTGATAATGAATAGAGCAGCGGTAAACAATATCTGACTGAAGTTTTGTTCCATTCAGTCTGAAATGTGATTGATAGTAGTATAGAAAAATATAGAAAAGCTGGTGTTAGAATGATATGTAATATTTTGACAACAGGGCTGAGGACGAGATAGGGACCTTCCACAAATAAAAACACAGTGTCTAGCCAAGTGTATCATATTTGATAGTATTGGTCTAGTGAATGACATTTGTAAAAAAGCAATTTCACCCTAGCCAACGGTATCATTTTGAGTATGCCCGTAGCAGACCCCTACCCAAAATTTGGCGAAGATCCCCTCGTTTCCTAGCCTGCCTTTTCAAGCAATATTTGCTTCGACTATGTCCATAGTACACAGTATATAGTGACACAAGCCTTTGTTAACGACATCAGCTTACCAATTAAAGCATTTTACTGACATTCAGGTTTTTCAGTTGAAAGTTTTAAACATGAACTTACCAGGTTTGGTGGTAGCCAATAAATAAGCTGATAAGCATCTTTGTTTTTTCAGAGCCAATATGAGCTTTTATACCATGCCATTGCAATTTACTACAAAACACATTATCTCACAAGAAATGAGAGGGACGCAGAAATAGATCTTGAGGACGAACAGTCAGCTTCAACCAGTTCATACATGATTTCAAGTGCTGCCTTTGAGAGCGACGAAATGTTTGATGACTAGGCCAGTTCCTACAGACCCCCGACTCAAATATCTACGCAAAAATGCTGATTGGTTTCCCATGAGAGCTTGAACATCCTACGTGCAATTAGGAGCGCCTCTTCTCTTTATTAAAGAAAGAGCATCGAGCGTAAAGACATGCTTTTTAAATCCACTGAAGAATAAAAATCGTTTTCATTAGAGAAAGGAGGAGGTGGGGTTTCGATACACTTCTTCCTTGAAGAGTTCATATCCATTACGTGACAAAATTTTTCAATTTTGCCAACATTAAAACCGATACATATTACTCTCCCGAGACAAAGACACACGACTTGCTTAAAGATAAAAAGCTTTGATTGAATTAGTGAACTTATATTTAAAGCATATTATCAAAATCTTATATACTGTATTTAAATTGCGAATGGAAAAAGCCTATAGCGTTTACTTAAAGCTCTCTCATGTTTACTTGAATCGATTCAGTTCTCTACCTGATTTTACGCAGTGACACCGTAGCACGGAGGCGCAGAAGGGCGGCCTAGCAAAATTACTTCTCTCAGTGGAAATATTCAATTTTCCAGTTGTTTTGAAGGTCGACCCGTGTTTCAAAACCCCCTCCGTTTATTCCCAACCTTAGAGTATCGTGCTGTTTATTATGTTGTGATTTTGAGATAATAGCATACTAAAGCAAGATCGTAATCAAAAATTGAAAACCAGCTTCTATACTCGCTTTTGACAACAAAATAATCTCAGCGATGAAATAGTAAATAGACACAGGCGTGCAAGGTCGTACACAGTAAATTACGGGAAGGGAGCAGTTATCAAAAAATTTATTGGGATGTGCTTTCCTTAAGAATCGTTCTCTAATATGACGCCCTTTGAAGCATCACAAAACTTTCTTCTTTCAAAACTTAACAGAATAGGAACAACTTTTACTTAGCATAGGCCTTTGCCAGACTGCAGATTTTTGCGACAGTAGCAATCGCGGCGGAATGAATTGTTTTCCCTTCAATTGATATTATTGCGTAAACCCCTTTTTTATCATCTGCTTTATAGTTTGAAAGTGGGTGCCATTTTTCATCCACTTAAAGGGTGCTTTTAGGGGTTTAGAAAACAACAGTTTATAATGCGATTCACTGCGGAGGAGACAATTTTTCACAGTTAAACTATGGTTCTTGGGAAAATTTTTTTCAAATTCAGCATCTAAAAAATTGAATTTTTCCCTAACAAAGCTGCACATTTAGGTAACTGTAGTTTTGATGCTGTTTCCACTACGATTGCATTAGTATCATCAATGCATATCCTAGAATATTTTCGCTTTGGAACATTGATTTTCGGATTCAGCACCAAAAATTCCTTAAAAATCCTTCGAGAAATCAATTTAACACTAAAATTGCATGAGATGGCAATTCAATAAATATTATAAGTCAAGGCAAGTCATCTCATAAGAATTGAAACAAAAAATCTGGTTTAGCAAACTGATCCTTAAAGACAACAGTGTATCTTGTTTTCCCAACGGGCTCTTTGTTTCATCAGACATCAGACACCTCATATTTGTATTATTTTGGTATTTCGAGAAGCTTATTAGCTACCAGTATCGATCAAACGAGAGAAAAGCCAGAAGACTGAGCGAGCACATTTTTATTTCTCTCACAAGTAAAAAGTGTGGCCATATAAAAAGATTCAGTGCCCCGATGATTCACCACATATAAACCTACAAGAACTTAATTCAGAATTAGCTTCAAGAATATTAAAATAATTTTCGATAATGTATTTATTTTGACCAACCCAAAGAAACTGTAACGAAAAACTGGGCTTTTGAAAGTGACTATTGCAATACACTATTAAGATAGGTGCAGATGGGAGGGTGTAAAAGAAAGTAAGGCATGAGCCTAGGGATTCTTTGCATTCTTTCATGGATGTTAGCTTGGAAATCTAAATAATTTCTCTAAATCTTATTAAAAGATAATAAACTAACTGGTGACCTAAAATTTGTATCATGGAATGATTTGTTTATAGAAAGCATGCAACTAAATAGGAATTCAGAATTCAGCTTAGTCTCGACTTAGTTACTAATTATAATAATCATAATCGGCATTGATGCATTATGATAATCATAATCATCATAGACATCACCATTACCAACTGCGTTATCAGCAACAACAACACGAACAGCTTGGTAACGACGGCTGATATTTGTGATACAAGGAATTCATGATTTAGTAAACATCAATGATGTAATGAGATTCAAACACGCTTCGATGGAATGAAATTGAAGATAAGAGTGCGCGTGATAACTGAATGCCAAGGTATTGCACGGATTCCATTGGAACACCAGAAACTGCAGGTTCTTATCCACATTCCCCTTTGCAATATTCATGTAATTAGCTGTATCTGTTAATCTGATCCACCTGTTACTTGACAGATAAATATTATCATGCAAAAAACGTCTATCACACAAGACCGAACATGTGCGCATGGATTTTCAGCGGTTTGTAAACGCCCGAAGTGTGAAACCACTGGCATATGATTGTCATACCACCAACCATTTTAATTCATTTTAATTCATTATCAATTCGAACCTCTCACCGAAAGTCTGAGATGATAGCGATGGAAATCTCAATCCTGCAGCCGCCCAATTATCTGCCCTTAAAAATCTTTAAGGAATGACAAAGGTCACCTTATGAGTCGTTTGAAAACAATTGCTTTCAAGGCAGATACCTTCTTTATTCCAACCTTAACTGTCTAAGTATGTTTTTAAAACAACGCCCTTTATCCAATTAGTTTTTTATTCAGAATCCTGTAGGTCCAGCAGTCATACATGATTTCCCCTGAAAATCGCATGTCGCACGTTAAGTAATGTTATCGCTACCTCAATCATATATTGAACCCTAACAGCGTCTGTTCTAATCCACAGTTCGTTTTCAATGCCCAAATGGAGTTTTTCAACCAAAAACGATTTTTTATTCAGTTAGCTGCCTATAACCTTAAAAACGTTATTCAATTCACATTTAAAGTACACAAGGCAGGCTTTCTTAACAGAAATCAATACGGCCCGGATGAGCTGAACCTTGAAAACCGTTTTTGATTTGCCTCAATTTCACTCTATATTCGAACCAGCCTCCCTTTTAGTTTCTCAGCGCGGCTGTTTATGTGAAATTGATTGAAATCCATTTTCAATGCAGCTGAGAAACACTTGATACAACTTAATTTGAACATGTATTCTTTTTATTAACTCTTTTTATCGAGTAAATACTTTGTATTAGGTTATCAACCCATTCACTGTTACAATCCTATTCCATGCTTCACTCTCCTCAGTCCTCTTATTGAATTATACTACGAGTAACAAAGCGTGTTTTCAAGAATTTTAGGGTCCTGGGACTAACATCTTTTACATTGGTTTCCACTGAATACATTCCTGTTTATCAGAGGTGGTTCTTCTAATGTTATACATCCGTACCTCCGCGATAGGTATTAATCGGTATTATATACCTTCCCTTATTTTTATTTTGCTACTTTTTAGCAATAACCCCTTCTCTGATGTATCGAAATATCGCAATGCAGTTTATCAGGTCTTGTTTGAGAGAAGATCATTTACGGCATCTCTTATTAGTTTTCAGCGCAAATTATCGCAGCAATAAGCACTGTCAGAGTTGAAGCAAACGACAATTTAGAATAATCGTCAATCTTCTTAAGAGCACAAAAGAAGATAGATTTTCAGAATAAATCATTATTAAATTTCATGTAAGGCTTTTTAGTTCCGAACGTAGCAGAAGGATTTAGATTTAACAGCAAACAAGTCGGAAGAGCTGCGTGACACCAAATATCGTTTGCATATTTATTATCAGTTGCTAGAACCATGTGGACTTAAATATTTAATTGAACTGAATCTCGTCATTTGTTATAGTATAGGGAGCATAAGTGCAGGCACGTAAATAACGGAAGGGTGGGAGGTTGCTAGGATGTAACCCCATAAACTTTCAAATTCTTTGAAACCTACGTCGTAGCTCCAATGTTTATTCACTTCAGATATAGTGTTTTCACAATTCAGAAAAAATTGGCCAGATCTTAAATCTCTGTAAATTAAGGCTCATTACGATTTTGGTACAAAATAACAACTATTGTCAGTTGGAATATTTTACCTCTCACTTCCTCAAAAACTTACATCAATTTATGTCCCTGCGCAAAAGGGTCTGAATCTGCTTTCGAAATGTGCGAGTTAACTGAACTAGGAAACAAAATGACTAGGAATGCTAGTATACTGCACTAAGAAACAATAACGTCAGTTCTGCTTGTGTACCTGAAAACAAGGAATGTATTTTCAAACTGCACTGAAAGAAGCTAACCGATTTTGCATGACGGTATAAACAAGGAGCTGGCTGTAACGTATTATCATTAACGTTTCCTGAATATAAAAGATAATAATGCTATGTTTGAGCTAACCAGTACTGGGTACCACATTATTCGACAAACATTATTCACTTGGATGCCCAATTCATATACATCGAAACCAAAATATTGAATAAACAAGAAAACAAGATTAAATTTGAGAAATTGGATTGCTAACCACTGATATAAACCAATTTCAAAGTTCAACAAAGCTACATTATGTTGCTTTGCAAACTAGAATTCTCAATGATATTTAACTTGAAAAAGCAAACCATTTGACAGTTGAGGCCTACTTCCCTTTGTGTTGCTACAGGATTATTCAAGAAACACCCAAAAATTTTGCACGCAAAACAAAGACAAACAGCAATGCTCCGGGCTTTGAATTTTCATTCCCACATCATTACAATCGTGTTACTGTAAGACTGAATTATTGTCATTTTGGATAGTACACGTGCAGTCCCATAAAACACTATAAGATTTAATGTTCAGTATTCGCAGATTAGGTTTCAGGCCCCTAGTTACAAAAAGCTGAATATTGCTTTCATAAGAGCATACCTCTCTCTATAACCCTTTAGAACATAAAGTAATGTATACTAAATACTAAATTAACAAAGGACGCATTTTAGACACTGCAAACAAGACTATGTACGACGAATTCTTTCATGAAAGCTAACTAGTAGATTTACATGAAAAACATATCAAAATAGTTTTGGACTAGAAATATTAAACTTAAGACTTATGCCATTAGAGTTATAATTATATGCTATGGTACGACAGATCATCTTTCGACTCATTCATTTTCTTTTCAATTAAACTTCTTCATCGTTAACCAATTTTGGCCTTTGGTAATGAGAAAATCGTTTGTCTTTATCATATAATAAAGTGCTGCACGGATTTAAGCTACAATAATATCTTTTCTTTTGGACCGAATTTCATGGCAACATAATCCACGGGTCGTTTGAGAACCTATCAACAAATCAAGAGCTAGGAACCCAAATAACAAAGAATTTTTCTGCCAAAATTCATAATAAGATGTATATATATATATATGTTCAATTATTTTACAGAACGACACGAAACCCCTTTCGCTTTTGCCAAGCTCGCTACAGATAACGTCATTATGTTAAAGCTGAAGATAAGCAAATTCTAGAAACTTTCCCCCTCCTCCAGACTTGGGGCTTGGAATGCCTTTTCAAAGGAAGAATACAAGGCGGGATACAGACGTATTGCCTTTGTTTCATTTGACTTCAATGAGCTTCAACGTTGTATTCTACAGTATGTCCGCTATCTTTTCTGGGCTTAGGGTGAAATTTCGTTTGACAAATAGATGACCA